CACCAAACACACCAAGGTGCCTTCATCCCCCATATACCTGGGGGAGGCAGTGGCTACAAGACCACCTGCTCCCTGTTGTCACGGCAGATGAGCGCCTACATCACCAATAAGTAGGATTTTGATGGCAAATTAACGCCACCTTTGAGAAGAACCACCAGGCATGGAGCCATCTGACAGCTCAGTCAGGTGTAGGGCGTCACACCCATCAATCCTGGGAGTCAGTTGTCTGCGTGGTTCCTTAATAGGAGCAAAACAGAGCAGTGGGCAGCAAAGTCATCACTCCAATTATGTTTGCTGTGTCTCATCAGTCTCAAGAGCCCTAATAGAACCTCCAGGCGCTGCAGACCGAGATGGATTATCTCTAGAGAGATGTCAATATGCTTCAGAATAAGAATCCTTAATGAGCTGGCCATTACTGCTAACTTAGAGCCTGTGCACACACAAATACAAATCTGGTTAAATCTGTGGCCGCTTCATCTCAAGAATCCAGGAGGTTCCAAAGCAGGAAAAAAATAAATATAATATATATATATATATATTTAACAGTGTCCAGACCAAGCTTGGAGGAAGGGTGAATGCAACACGATATCAATGCAAGTCTTGATGTTGAATCACCTGATCAAACCCGAGAATGGCTTTGATGTAGGTACCAATTCCCACCTCTCAAAGCATGGAGGAATGTCAGTGTTACAGAAGGTAACACTGCAACAGCACGTTCTGACAGCCAGCATGGGGCAGTGGGAAGTGCCAAGAGGTTGAACCACACCTGCCAGACGCCAGGGGAATTAACCACCAGAGAAAGGACAGTGACCTGGCACACTGCAAGAGCTCCAGCTCCCAGGTGCTCCAGCAGCAGGGATAATTCCTGATCAACCTCTACCATGTGTAAAGATGTCCAGCACAGCTGATCCCATGAGGCCTCTGCCCAGAGACCTGCCTGAGAAGCAGCACACTGCAGCAGGGCTCACTTGAGCTTCCCTGCCCACCTCAGTACACATCCAAGTCCCTGTCAGGAAGGATTAATTTTTACCTAAGGAAAACGCAAAACAAGACAAAAAAAACAAAACAAAAACCACAAACAAAACAAAACACCAAACAAACAAAAACTAAAACAAAAACAAAAACCACAAAAAAACAAACAAAAAAAAGAGAAAATAGGAAGGAAAAAGAAAACCCCCACAAAACTAAAAACTCACACCACCAAATATCAACCTCACCCAAAAGTGCAATCTATTCATTGCACATTTTTTTTACACCTCACAATGCTGAAACACAAGTGATGGGTCATTTAATTTGTATTTGACCAGACACTTAACAAAATTACGATTCAAACCCAATTAACTGATGCAAATCCAAAGCTCTGAGATCTCCATCTTACAAGAGTAGCTTGGGATGCAAGAGCAGCTGCACCACAGTGGCAGAGAACTGGAAATTTGTGCCAGGTAAGGGGAATGGGAAGAGGAGTGGAGTGGGGTTCAGGGAAACACTGTGCTCAGAGTTGTGCACAAAGGACAGGGAATACAAGCCTAAGGGGTCCCACATCCGCTCCCACTTGCAAATACAAATGTCCTTTGCATCACACTCTTGCAGTTGGCTGGCAAACCACCTTGACTTCAACCCCCCAAAATACAATCATGGTAACAGACATAATGATCAATAAGCACCAAGGGCAAGTATGTTCATCCCACTTGCCAACTCTCCAGAAACAGCCTCTACAGCAAAAGCAATTAGCAGAAATCAAGTTTTACTCCAGGCTCATCAAAACTGGCCTCACGTCCACTGACTCTCAGAAGGGAACTGGGCTTTAAGACTGTTTTTCCTGTTTATTTCATCAGCCACTGTGGAGGTTCAGTAGCTTTGGGTCATCCCATCCTGCCAGGGACCTCCAAGCACTGGAATTGAGCATGAAAATAACACAAATTTGATACTGCAATCTAATGGGGCGATTTGCCTCATTTATTTAATTAAGCACCATGTATTAAACTATTGCTGTGTGGCCAGCCTGGCCATTTCACCGGCCTGGTTTCTCTGCTGAACAAGCACGGGGAGGTTTTAGGAGGACAGGGACACCAGTTCATCCCTCCACAACAAGAGCACCAGTCCCTGCAGCCTCCCCACCAGCCCTGCAGCGCTGCCAACGCTCCAACCTCACCTCACAGCCCACCTTCAACAGCTGCAAGGAAAAACAAATCAGCATGGAAAGGGATTTAAAAAAATAACACACAAGTGTCTAGATCTTAAAGCGTTTCTCTGCAGAGCGATGTGATTTCACCTCTGGCTTTTGAAACGCTGCTCACCTCGGGCAGAAATCTGTTTCTCATTACACACCTGCACAGCCCCACTTAATTCACCAAGAAAGGTGGATGACAGAATATTACTGGGTGTTTCAAGTCTAGCACAAGTGTCTTGTCCCCTGGCATTTTAACTGATTAATAAAAGGAATAACCTCTGTAGCGAGGCAGACAGCTGGTTAGCCAGCCCAGCCAGCCAGGTAAAATGTGCATTTATCATCAAAAACAACCTCTGAAGTTCCTAGGCGCGCTCTGTCTTGCACATCCCTACCCCGTGTCTGAACACATCACAGCCGTGTGACAAAGATGGGTTCCTACATTTTTCCTCTGAAATTTGGCCTGGAGAGGCTGAGCTGAGCACCGATAGCCACAGCAGGGCCGGGGCACCCCAGGGATATTCGTCCCCATCGTGGTTTTGGGCTCAGATCCCTTCGTCCCTCTCACCTCCCCGGGCTGCCAGTGCAGCAGGAGATGCTTTTAGCCACCCTGGAGAAGAAGCTGGATTCCCAAATTCAGGAATTGCCAGAGAAGCACCAAACACATCAAGTGTAAAGACTGATTTGAGATTGATTTGGGTCTCATCCTGGCCAAGGACAAGCATCAGCTGAGCCTCGCCAGAGCATCCAGTCCCACACCAGGCTCTGCACATCCTGTGGGCTCAGCTTTGTGCTGCTCCCCTCTGATGACCAGGCTCTTGCAGAGGTGGCCACCAAAGCCATCCCAATCAGCCAGTTCCCTTCACACCCCTCCTACAGCTGGGAAAGCAGCCAGGTGGGGTAAGCAGAAAGCAATTTCATTACAGACAGCAGGGCTGTAAACTCTCCCCTCAAACCAGCAACACCTGCCTCAGCAAGGGCAGCAAGAGTCTCCTCTCAAGACAACCCCCTGGGACTCTCCCTACGTCACAGCTCCCACAGAATCATAGTTTAGGTTGGAAAAAAATCCTTAGATCATCGAGTCCAACCATTAACCTAACACTGCCAAGTCCACTCCTAAACCATGCCCCCAAGTGCCACATCTTTAAACCTGTTCTCAACTCCCCACAGGGCAAATACCTCACCAAAAATTAGGTTTCTAGGATTATAGTATTTCCTTACAAGAAAAAAAAATAAATCATAGCATGCCATTCTCAGCACGTTTTAGGAGAGCTCTAGTCCCCCACACCTACAGCTCCTTAGGACAGTTTATATTTGGAAACATTGGTCTGAGCGGAAGAGAGTTTGATCAGTTTGTAGCCTGGAAAGCCAAGAGGAAATCTCACAGCATTGTTCCACCCTGGGAAGAGGCATCAGGACGTGTTGTTATTTACTCTGAGACAGCACCAGAGCTGACACAGGCTGGTTTCGCCACACAGCTGGGGATTCCCACTCCTGTGCTTTGCAGGATCAAGGTCTCTGATTCCACAAGCGAGCAGTGACATCCTCACAGCAAAACACCCTTTGCTCCCCAAAGAGGGGCTCCAAATATCAGAGCTCCTGGCTGTCCTCAGCCACAGCAGCTCCCCCAGCACACGAGGTTATGTCTCGCTGGGTGATGGGGACAAACAAAAAACACCAGCAGAAGAAGGGAAAGGCACTTGCCAGACGAGCAGCGTGCTTGCACAGCGCATGAACAGAACTCGTGCTGGTATTTTACACTATTTATCTTTGAAGGCTTTGGTAAAGTTAAACTGAGTCTCCCATGCCCTCACTACCAGGAAGTTTCCCTTCCATTTCACCCCCAAAACCTGTTGTTGTCCAAAAATAAAAGATAACAGTTTACCATGAACTTGTCAACACAGCCGGGGAGGGCAGAGAGCCCCATTTCATTTGTTTCCAATCGATTTCACTTCCCGATTCTCATGCAAATACCTACATCTCAGCTTGCAAAAAAACATAAGCAGAACATTTAGACCCAAAACAACCTGAGCTGATTTTACTTTTTTTTTTTCTTCCCCCTTCATTTAAAAGCCTCCTTCCACCAAACCCATCAGAAAGTGGAAACACTTCCATGGAGGGAGCCCTTTTAAATTTCCCAAACCGGAGAGCGGAGCAGGCAGCGGGGCCGGGGCGCAGCTGGGGTCGCTGACCCGAGCCCTCCATCACCCCCCGTCCCGGAGCAGCTGCGGCTCCGCGGGGATGCGGCTCCAGGAGCCCCGACACGGGGAGGGGGAACACGGCGGGTCGGACACCACATGGCCGCGGTCCTTGCCCGGCCGGGGTCGGGGCAGGCTCGCAGAGCACCAGGGTTTGCGTGTTTCTATAATTTATTCATTTATTTTCCTTATGATCTTCCCAGCCAAAGTTTTGTCCCGGCGCTCGCTCCTCCCGCACATCCCAGACGAACCAGCGCCTCCACAAAAAACCCGAATAATCCCATCTCCTCTTGAGCCCTATTATTTGCTTTTGTTTCGCCATGACTGTAAACAGAAGGGGGATGTTTCCCTCTTTCCCGGGGTGTGCTCTCCCCGCCCCGGAGCCCTTCCCGTGCGGCCGCGGCTCCCCCGGCGTTGCCCACCCCGGCCCCGGCGAGAAACCAGGGGGGATAAAGCCCGGGGGGGCTGCTGGGCATCCGGGGGGGCTGAAGCAGACGGTCTCCCACGCATTCCATCCCATTCACGCATCCCACCAAGTTGTGCGAGAGCAACACCCGCACCCAGGAATCCAGGGCAGGGGGTGCTCGTGGGGGTCCCCCAGCCGCCCACCCCTCCCTCCATCGGTCCCCTCCTACCTGGGACATCTGGGGCCTGAAGTTGATGTCCTTGAGGTCGATGGAGCCGGGGGAGAGGTTGTGGAGCAGCTGGCAGAGCAGCACCCCGTCCCGCAGCGCCTGCGCCAGGTCGAAGACCACCGCCGAGGGCCAGACCACCCGGTGGTTCGGGGGCAAAACTTTGCAGTCGATGAGCCAGCGGCCGCACTGCCGCCACTCCTCCATGGCCGCGGTTTGTTCACTCACCCGGCCTTCCTCCTCTTCCTCCTCCTCCTCCTCCCGGCGCTCAGGGGCCGCGGGCGGCTGCCCCAGGGGCCGCTGTGCACCGCGGCTCCGCGCTACCGCCCCGCTCCATCGCCGCCCGCCGCCCCGGAGAGCATCGCTCCGCGCCGGGGCTCGGAGGAGGAGGAGGAGGAAGAGGAGGAGGAAGGAGGGCGGCGCGGAGTTTTCCGGCGGAGGGCTGCCCCTGCCCCCGCTGCGGCCCCACCGCTTCGGCCGGGGTTAGGCGCGCCGCATCCTCCGGGAACAAAGCCGGGGACGGACGGACCGACGGACAGCGAGCACGGCGGGGCCGCCCTCGCTCAACTCCTTCCCCTTTGCCCTGGGGAAACTTGCGCCGCCGAGGGACCCCACCTGCGCGGCCGAGCGGGGGACCCGCCGTGGGTGCTGAGTTTTCTCCCCGCCCCGGGCAGCGGGAGGAGCCCCCGGTCCGCCCCCGCGGCCCGCCCCCGGCCCGCCCCGCCGCCCCTTTGTCTGCGGGAGCCCGGGCTGGCAGCGGGGGTGTTTTGCGATGCCTTGGCTCCGATCCCGTGGTTTTTTTCGCCTTTTTCCCTCCCTTCCCCCCCCATTATTTTTATTCTTCCCCCCTCCTCTTCCCCACCTCTCCCAGTTTTTCTTCCCCCCCCACGCCCTCCTCCCTTTTTTTCTTCTTTCCCCTCCCTGTTTGTATCCCTCGCTCCTTCCCGCCGCTGCCGCTCCTCTCCCTGTTCCGGGAAAGCCGCCCGGAGCCCCGGTGCTGCTTCGCTCTCCCCGCCGCCACCCGCACTGAGCGGGGTCCCCCCTTCCCAAGGACCCCCCTCCCTGCTCTCCCTGGCCCCAAACCCTGCGGGGCAGAGGCAGGAGCGGTCCCGGGGCTCCTCCGCCTCCCCGGGGCCGCACACACAGACCCCGCTTTGTCTGACCGCTCACTCCCACTCGTCATCCCGTGTTTGGGTTGCAAATACTGCAGGGGAGATGTTTAACCCAAACAAGCTATCGTGTTCCTTGACTTTCAAACACGAGGACAACTCCTATAATTAATTACCAGTGTATTTATTAAAATCCTCGACTCTCAGCCATTAACTCCTTGGCAGCAAACTCCTGAAAAATCTCTAATTTTCGCCGGTGGCTCCCATCCAAATCAGCACAGCTTAGAACAGCCTCTTTTCAAATCTGTTCTGAGTTTTTCTTCCGAGATCCTCTCCCCAGAGTTTGCCGATTAATTTCCAGCCTGGCTTTCCAGATAGCCAAAACCGGAAGCCGAGACTGGGACGAAGGGAAGCTATTAACCTGGATGTCAAACAAATGCAACACTAATCTCTTCCAAATGGAGCCAAGCGGAGATAAAGAAGAAAGAGCAACTCTACTGCCATGATCCTTTATTTTCAATGCAGGAAGGAGGATCCTTCCAAAGAACAGAAAACAATTGTTTGATATCCCAAGGAAAGTTTGGTAGGCCCTTTGTTTTTTTTAAGAGGGCACTTCTTTCAGCCTGAGGTGCTGGCAGTCCAGCCGTGCCACTACCCCTTGGTCAGGGCAGGATAAGAACAGTGTGATCCAAGAGGGAGCAGCATCCGTACTCTCCAGTCTCACCATCAGAGCTACACCCTGCCCTGGGTGTATTCGGGCTGTGATTTCAGCCCACACTCCCCATACCCCGCGGAGGTGCTTTCTCAGAATAATTTTCTCATTATTTTAGTTCTTCATGAAGCGTTTCTGCCCTCCAACAGCACCCATGGGCAGGAATCACAAGGCTACTGAAAGCAGTGGAGTCATGCCAGGGATAATTTTGGTTGACTCGGTACCAGCCTGCCATTTGAGGTCAGATCAGTAGGTAGACGACAACAGAGGAGTTTATTATATGTGCATAATTGAAGCTGCCAGCTACAGCCTGGCTTTTCTACTGTGTAATAAAAAGCGTTCTTGGCCCCTGGACACTTGGGAACAATCCCTGCAGCTGCAAAGCCAGCTTCTGTGTGGGAGGTGTTGAAGCAAGTATGCTTCTTGCCTACCTCTGCAACAACCAAAACAGCTGATGGCAGAGGTATTTCTGAGAGCAGAAAAACTTAAACCAATCAAAACCTGTACAGCAAGGCTCAGGAAGAGCATGAATCCAGCACACACCGGTGAGCTGTGAGCTCAAAACTGTACAACTGTCCTGCAACAGGACAGGGTATGTGGAGAGGACCCAGATGCTGCTTCCAGGGTGGAGCTAAAGCTAAAAGGGAGCTTGAATAAATTAGAGAGGTTGGGTTTTGTGCTAGAGCTGGTGCTCCTCTCTCCTGCCTCTTGGCACTGCTGGAAATGACAGCCAGGGAATGACAGCCAGCCGGGGAATGACAGCCAGCCAGGGAATGCCAGGCTTCCAGGGAATGACTGCCAGGCAGAGGACAGCCAGGCAGGGCAGAGGCTGACACTACCCTCTGCTGGGGACCGAGTGTGGAGCTGCTTCTCTCGGCTAACACACTTTGCTTCATGTGCTTTTATCTTAGTTTCTTGCATGAGAGAAGCCTGAGAGGTTACTGGATGCCCTGGAAAGATCTTGCCAGAAGGAACATTGTGCTTTTTCATCCCCAAATGTCTCAGTACACAGAGACAAGGAGCCTGGCAGGCAGCCCCTGCACCCTGGGTCCTGAATGCAGAGTGGGTGTGAGGGGTAAATGGCTGGTGAAGTGGTGGCAGTTTGGGAATGTAATAGAGCTGCTTGGGAACATCCCAGTCCAGCATGGAATAGGCAAAACTAGTGAGGGAAGGGAAGGAAGGAAGGAAGGAAGGAAAGAAAGAAGGGAAGCAGGGAAGGAAGGAAAGAAGAAAGTTAGTTTAAATGCACTAACATGTGCAAGGAGATCATACCTTACATATCTGGGACATGGCCCCGTTTCCCAGTAATGTGCACTTTCATAATGTTTGGTGTTACTCCTGGGAGAAGAGCTCACTCCCTGGGAGCTAAGCTCATGCAGAGAAGCAGCTGCTGCACTGCCCCTCTGGAGCAGCCCTCTGAAAATACCCCTAAAACACCAGGGCCACACCGCCAGGAGATCCCCATTTCCCAGCCAGCCAGCGTCTGTGGATTGCCATTGCCACCTTCTGGATTAGTCCAAGCGTGCATCAAGCCTGTCCCAAAGCCATGCTGGCTGCCAGCAGCCCGGACAATGTGCCTCCAGCTGGAGCCAGGGTCCCCAGAGCAGGAGCCGTCCCGGCTGCTGGCACAGCAGCTGTCACATGTCCCCCTGCAGCCTACGTGCCATTTACATCCCGCCCTTAGATTCTGTGATCTCTTTTCACCAGCTATTTTAGGAAACCTGTGCAAGCCACAACCCGGCAAACCCTCTGCTCAGCAGCAGCTCTGGCTCAGTGATCAGTGAGAGGGGGAATCACACGGTTACCGATGCACTGCCGTGTCAAACAACTTGAGTACAGACAATAATGCTCTGTCTGGCTCATCTGCTGCTGTAAACACCTGATCTACCTGCCCAGACGAGGTGCACACTGGAATAGTCACTGCAATTATCCTCCTGCTAACGGCCCTGCACGGCTGCCAGCGGAGCTCATCTCTCCCCTTCCCGCAGGCACCCACCTCCCAGAGCCAGCAATAGGGGTGACTGCCTGCTGCTGTGGGAAGGAGCAGGAATATTAACCTGGCACAGCTCGATGAAGGCAGAAGGGATGAACTGGATTCTCTTCTTGTGCTGGTGCAACAGGAGCACTCAGCCCCAGGTACTCTTTGTTTAGCCTGGAAAAAGGTAGTGCCTGACAGTGCAACTCCACTGGAAAAGGGCTCTGACCCCAGGCACCAAGCAGGTGGAGCTGGCACTTCCCTAGGCATTTCTCTGTGGAAAAAGTCTTATTTCTGGGGCTTGGGATGCCCTAGCTGTGCTGAATACCAGTAACAACCAGTTAACCTGTTCCTGACACCAACATCACGCTGCCAGGACATCCTCACTAACTGTCCATTCTTCCCTGGGCTTCACCCCAGCAGCCTCCTCATCCAAATCAAACAGACCTGGAGCATATCCCAGTCCCAGGGAGCTGGGCAAGGGCAAAACAGCCTGGCACAGCCCTGCACTGCAGCCATGGCACAGCAGAGGTACGGCCTGAGGCAGCCTGGGGAAAGCAAAGCAGATACAGGGATTCCTTGGAGGAAGGAGAGCAACTAACCGTTGGCCTGGCAGCACCTGTGTTTCACCTCATCCATTCCACTGCTGCTGCTTCCAAGATTTATTTGGGAAGGCTCCTGTTGGCAGACAACCCTGGGACTCACGGCAAAGCGTCGAGTGGATGGTCAGAACAGTTGGTGGCTTTTGGAGCTTGGTAGATTCCAATCCTTCTTGCCTCGTGTCATACACACTCCACTTACCAGCTCCTCCTATTGTGCTCAGAGTTTGGCAATAACAGAACAGGGTAATTTTTCAGAGAAGACCAAGACACCTCAAAAAACCGTAAATCTTGTTCCACTAAAGGTTTTTGCACTTTGTTCTGCAGCTTCCACGAGGCGGGTCGGGGCCGGCTTCTCTGCACTAGCAGGAGGCGGATTAAGCAGCAGAGTCAGGCTATTTCTGATAATAAACGTTTCAGTAGTGTGGTAATCCCTCTTTTTTTTGTTGTTTCGTTTTCTTCCCTCTTCTTTGTGTTTGGTCTGAATCTCCTGGGAATGGCGAGTTGCAGCATGCCTTCTGTCTGACGGAAGCAAACCACAGCCTCTTGTTTGTGTCCGTGAAGGCCAAGCGGAACGGGAGCAGCGCCGGGAGTAGCTCTGCGAGGGTAAGTGTATTGGGACCTTCGCAGGAGATTAGATGGCGCTGCGTCCACAGGAGATAAGAAGATTGTGAGCTTAAATTTAGCATCATCAGGAAGAGAATAAGCCCCGCAGCTCTCTTCAAAACATATTTTGTACTGGACTTGCCAGGGGACAGACGGGATAAGGAAATGCAGAGCAGACAGCGATAACGAGAGGAGGTCAAGGGGGTGCTGCTCGGTCACGCTCCTTGTCCACGCAGTTCGCAGTGAGGGTGGCATGAGGCTGCCAGCACTCAGGGGTGTCCCCTGCCTGCCTTCACCCCGTGGACAGGCGGGCACTGCGGTGCCTGAGACAAGTGAAGGGGCACAAAGGGTACCCGCACCCTCCCAGCACAAGCAGCTGCTCCACCAGTCGCCCATGGAGAAAGGAGACTCGGCTGAAAATCCCAGGACTGGGATCCACCCGGGTGCCCCATCGCCATACCCGGGACCCCACCGTGGGGCTCCCCAACTCCGGCCGCCCCCCCGCCCGGTGCCCCCGCCCTCGCCCGCCCCGTCCCGGCCCTGGCTCCTCCCAGAGCGCATCACGGCGGGGAGGAGCCTGGGCGGCTGCTCGGCCGAGCCCAGCGGCGCCGGGGCCGGGCCGAGCCGGGCCGGGCAGCGCAGCACGGTGGG